TTTTTTTTTTTTTTTTTTTTTTTTTTTAAGGGTGAGGTTGCTTCTATTGAAACAACTGCTTAATAAATGCACTTGAGTCATCCTCGCTTAAAGGCAAGATTAGGCATCTGAAAGAAACCCATTCAAACAGAAATTATAGGCTTGGTACAAGATTTGCTGGTGAAATACTCTGACCTGTGATATCAGGGATACAGCTAGGAATGGAAATGTGGATGAATCCCAACTTGAGACAGACGAGCTTAAAAACAAAGTTCTGATTTTACCATGGATCATTTATATGGCAAAAGATTTAACATGTTAAAATGCTGAATACAGGAAATGCAGTCTTGTGTGTCTTATGAACAGGCTGTGTGGTTTGTAAAAGGAGGCGGAAAAGTAACAAGCCAGTTGAATTTTACTTCAAGTTGACATCACACAGGCTCAGACCTTTTTGTACTGTGCAAGATATCAGCCTAGATGATGGAACAAGTCTATGACACGGGCTTAGTTGCTCTCCTAGTCTTGCTTTCCTTGTCAGCAGAACAGTTTGATTTACACAGTCCTCCCTTAGGCCAAGATTCAATCAGCCAGGGCTGTGCTGGTCTTTTGTGCCGTTGGATGGCTGTGCTCTAAATTATCTTCATGCCCAAATATCTCTTGCAGGCTGAGTTCCCTCTCTGAGTCTGGAATGCCCTTGTGTCGGATATACCGAGCTTTTCTGGCTTCAGCATACAATTCAAGAAAGCTTGGTCTGGTGTGCATAGTTCTGAAGTGGCTCTCGGGGCCAAAGGCCTCTGTATCAAAGACCCGCTTCTCATGGGCGAAGGAATTCTTCCATCTCCCTGTGTAGGTAGAGGGCTTGGGCATCATGTCACCGGCAACTGTGTCACTGGCCTCAGCCTTTCCAGTAAGCACTGCTGTGGCCTCTTCCCCAGTACTCTTTGCTTTATCTTGCTCTGCTGGCATAGCAGAAACACTCAGCCGCTGGGCAATAGAGTGCCTGACATCAGAGAGGTTGATGTCTGTGAGGGAGCTTCTGGCTTTGGCCCTGGTGGCTGTGTGGACTGGTCCATGTTTCCAGGAGGACAGCTGTCCTGCACCATCCATGATGTCACTGTTGCCTGTCTGATGTTGCAAGGTTGATTCAGCCACCAAGGTGAGCCCACCAGGCTTGGGCAAAGCAGCTTTTGATACTCTAGAAAGAAGGAAAGAGAGACGCAAGGAAACCTGTGCAGCCACCAAACAAGCAACATGCTCTTAACCACGTTCCTTTGGTTCTCAAGCAGATTCCAGGGGCTGCGAGGCTGCTGCTGACCACAACAGGACCCTGGTGCTGAGTTACTTCAGAGGGTAACATCAGTGAAAGCTTCCCTGTCTCGGCTCTCACAAGTCCGGCTCAGCTCATATGAGCTGCAAGTTGTTTCCGTCAGCCAATGCAAGGAAACCAGATAAAAACCCTTCAACAAAAAGGGGTTTGGGGCAAAAAAGACAAAAACAATTGGGGATTTATTAATATATAGGAATACGTAGATAAGCATGCGTATTAATATAAACTTTTTTGCAAGGAGAATTTTTGTTTTTAATCGTACTTTCCTCTTTTGGGAAAAATAACATTTCTTTAAAAATAGTAACAGCATGGTAGTTTCTAAGTCTTTCTTTAAAAAATACTGTAAAATGTTTTTTTTATTCTCCCTTTCATTTGTATCCACTTGGGGAAACTAGCACTTTCTTGCAATCTTTGACTTTCTCTGCTAGAAAATGTGAGAGTACAAAAAGTAGGAATAAGAAGGTGGGGTGGAGGAAGGGAACTTATATATATTTTTTTCTCCCCTTATTTTTACTTTTTTTTCCATGTTCTTTTTTGGTGTCACTCATTGAAAATCCAGGATCTTTTTTTTTCTTTCTCTTTTTCACTTCAAAATGACCCTAGCTTTGACAAGGTTACAAACTGACCACCAGGTCTTGCTTTTCTGTTTGCTGCTCTGTTCTTTTGACTAAGTTGACATTTTAAAGTTATAGTGTAGAAAAAGGACAATAAAGGGGGGAAAAAAGGGAGAGGGAAGAGTGACCCAAAACCCAAACAACCCCAGCCATTATTGATTTTATTGCAATTGGGGGCACGGTGGGGAGTTAAAGTGTTTGTGGGGGGATGACTGAGGGTGCTGTTTCCAGAGCTGCTGGATTGTAAGGGAAGGCTTTATTGCACCTGGCTTTACCTCAGTCGTTCACCCTCGGTGCTGCTCTGGTGCTCTCCTATCGAAGAAGAAACAGTGGGTAGAGTTGCTTTTTTACCAGCTGCCCTTGGGAAATCTGCAATCAAATGAGCTCCCTTCCTGGATTTGCCTAAGAAGCAGAGAAACAGGTTGCTAATAATATTGGGAAGAAGTTCTGGGGCAGAAATCCACCCCTAGAAACAGCCTCTTATTAAAATAAATAAATACTGCCAATACTGTCTCCTCTCCCCTTCAGCAGTCTCCCACCCACTCTATACTGGCCAGCCTTCTCGCTGTCTTGCCCCATTCTCAGCTTTCTGCTTTCCCCCACCATCCCTGCAAGCCTAGCGCAGCCTGCTGGTTCTTACTTACTAATTGTTGTCTCTACTGTCCTTCCTTAAAACCCAGCTGCCCCCTCCCTGCTCCTCCCCTCCTCAGAGCACTCTACGCCAGGTCTATTGATTTGCCTTGTCTATCCCAGGCCTTCAAGGCATGAAGCATGTCCAGCTGAATGTGAAAGGGCAAGAACATTTGTGGAAGCCCAAAAGGGCCTTTCAAAATAAAATTATAGTAATTAACAGACAGACCCAGCTAATATATTTATGTTAAGTGCACCCCATGTCCATTGTGCCACAGAACAATTCCTCACGTCAAAGCTAACTACAGTGCAGAAAATCTAGCATGTGCACATGCTCTAAGCCAGCCCCAAACGTCTGGATGCAACTGGTCTGAAAAATACTCATTTATAGTGATTGTCATATAATTCACACCCTGGTCACCCTTCCCACCCCCATTTTTCTTCTCAGAGGGGAGCATTTCCATCCTCCAGCAGCTTAAAAGAGCTGTAACACGAACCCATGAGACCATGAACAACTCATGCCTCCTGAGGCTGGGGGGGGGGAGAGAGGGAGGGGGCATGGTGACCGCCCACAGGTGGCAGCAGCGCTGTTGGTGGTGGGGGCATGGCAGTGGCGAGCCAGGACCGACCTCAGGCCATCGAGGCAGTGTCGGCTGCAAGGGGCGGGGGGTGGCGAATGACGACTGCCCACAGATACCAGTGGCGGCAGCAGCAGCAGCCAATCTCAGCAGGGGCACGTGCCCCACCTATGTGTCACCTATGCATAAGACCACATAAGCCACTGTTGGAAAGACATGCAGCTGCAGTCAGGTGGAGGGGCCCTGTCTCTTTTGACATGCACAAGGTCTGCGGGAGAAGAAAGCTACTGTTGCACTGCCCTGAGGAAGATCCGGGTTCATGATTCAGACACTGTTCCCAAAGATCATTCCCCAGGGGCTCTTCAATTAGCCCTTTCTCTGCCGTTGAGGTCTGATCAACACTACACAATTTTACTGGGATTGCTATTTTGACTAGGGGGTGTGAAAGTGTGGATAATGCTTCTCAGCCAATGTAGCTAATCTGGCCAATGCCCTAGTGCAGATGCAGCAATACGGGAACGGGCCTTCTGCTGGTGGGTGGTGCGTAGGAGTGGCGTAGGCAAAAACACTTTTTCTGCCATACGTGGAGTCTCCACTAGATTCTGCTGACATAATCTATCTAGGCTCTGCTGCTATAACATCATATTTACCCAAGTCCAAGGTGACTCTGAATTTAAGATGGCCCCCAATAATTAGATTCTATACATGGAAAAATTATAAATTAGTTTTAATTTTTTGTGTATAGAATCTAATTATTAGAGGGTCATCTTAAATTCAGCCTCCACTTGACTGCAGAGGGGAAAGCTGTAGGGGGGGCAGGGTCAAGCAGCCTGACCCCTGCCCCTTGCCCCCCCTA